TTTCATCTTAAGGCACTTCACTCTCCTCCCAAGGATGAAAAACATTTTCTGTATAGGTACCAGAGTCAACAAAAATAATATTTCACTACTACTTTAATATATTATCAATAAATATGCATGTTCACGCCCTTAGTTGCCACGACCAAAGTCGACCGTATTAGGGCCCATGAGTAACACCGTCGACGAGCAACAAGGGGCAGAGCCTAATGGCCTGTGGATAATTCTAAGTTAATTGAAAATAATCAAGCACCACTTACCTAATTCCGGAGGTAGGGTTGACCACAAGGTAACAGTCAGGTGATAAGTGAGGTGTATGTAAGTAGTGTGTAGTAGTGTTTATATGTAACCTGACTTAACCCATTTAATCGGCAGCAGCCCTGTTACCCGGCACTGCCCCACGATGTGGTATCACTCCAGCGGGCGTCACCTCGATGTCACTCAAGTCTAGCTTCACTTAGCACAAATCTATAATCTAATGCGAACTAGTCTAGCGGGTCACAAATTTTTAGCGTTTTTAACCGACAAAGGAAAATGTCTCCGAACTATATAAAATGCCACACGAGCAAAATTAATATTGTCAAATGCATTTCAACAGGCAATCACTATACAAATTGACGTAAATTGCTTGCAAACAAAGTTAAGTTAATCATTCAACTCAACAACACCCTTGTCGTTACGTAAAACGTACTAACAAAAAATGACACGAAAAAAGGTTATTCGGTACGCGACCACACGGTTCTAATAGCTTCCCTTTTACACGCGACCTCGCAGTTCAACGGAGGAAAAGGACTGCCTTCCTTTCATTATTTCTGTTTATCAACTTTATTGTACACTATTTCAATCTATCAACTTTATTGTACATTTAATTAACTTCAAATTCAAGGATAAGCCTCGTTAATCGTAATCAAATACGTGACACACGGCAAAACTAATGAACGATCGATCAAAGTTCAATATTCAAAGTTCCGGGTTCACTCAGCACAGAATTACAAACACGGGAACGAACGCGGTCTCTTCTTGAGTCACAAAGTTCAGCGTTCTCCCGAACAAGGCAAATTCTTTCGTACGATATTATATGCCACAAAGCAACGTCAAAAAATATAGACCGGTCGCACGCAAATTACTAACGGTCGCAAACAAGACTAGTCGACCATGCCGCGGCGTTTAACACACTCTTCTCGGCCCACCCGGCCGAGTGCCGGGAAGCGGCATACCGCCGCCCCCCCCCCCCTCAGCAGCGTCCACGTCACCTCACACCATTGGGCAATGCGCCGAGTCAAACGCTATTGGATGCAGTTTCAAATGCCCATATTTGGGCCTAAACAAACCCCCGTCCCGGACATAAGGACTTATGTCCGCGAGTAAATTGGCAAACGGGATAGGGTCGCTACGGCACGTTGCAAAACCGAATCTACCACCAAAACCTCAGCCACCCTAGGCACCCCTTCAGATCTTGCAACCTTAACCACCGCCTCAAAAATACCGCCCCAGTGCGAGCAAGTCGGAGGTGGAACCTCCACTGGATTCCCTTCCTGAACATCGCAGCACCTAAATAGATCCTGTTGCTGGACAGAAATTCGACGACCACATTCAAATATCTATCCGTGCCCCTTATAATTCGTTCCGCATTCAGACCGGATCAGGTCCGCAAACCGCGACGTGATACGAAGCGGCCCAGCATGGCCACAAAGGCTTCAGTGCTAAGGGTACTTACAGGTTCCAAGTGAACGGCCTTAGTGGCGAGGCACACGAAAAATTAGGCATAACCAAGCCATCTACCATATAATCATTTACTCAATTGTGCAGCAGCTGATTTCAATCTGATAATCTCCCAACTAGCTAGCCTTTTATACATGTAGTCCTATGCTTATATTTCAACCAAGTTTACAAAGTAACAATACTCAAAACCATAGTGGTTTAGTAACAATACTCAAAACCATAGTGGTGGTAGTTTGTAAACTTGGTTGAAATATAAGCATAGGACTACATGTCTAAAAGGCTAGCTACTTGAAAATAAATTGCAACAATTAATTTTCCGATACGCATAGATCAAAACAGATGAATTAAGCAAAACGATAAACATAAGAGACAGCCCTATTTCTCTTTCAAAATAAATATCTTCGACAATGCCAACAAAATTGTGAAAACAAAAGAGGATTGATTTTTATTTCCTTCGGCACAGATAGTGTTACTCAATTTCAATTTTCTTTTCAACAAAGCAAACATAATGATCAAATATTTTTATAAAAACATGAAACAAACAAGAGAAACACGTGTTCAAAGAGCACATTAAATTCGCCTTTTTACTCACAACCGCTACAACTATGAAACATTTCGCGGAAAACCCAAAGCATTTTTATTTTTAATTTAAAGCATTATTAATTAAGTGCTCGACCAAAACCAAATCTAATACTGACAGCGTGATTCAACGCTCCAGGGGAGCCCTAGTCTTCCCACCATCCAAGTGGAGGCACACCGCGTTGTGAACCCGAATCCAACAGAGCGCGAACCGCTAAACAGTCGCCACTCGGGTTGTACGCCTTTACTGAGGCCGTTGGCAACAGAACAGTTTGACAAGTGGACGTGGTGGGAGCTAGGGCGGCAGCTAGCTAGGACTGCCTCCATCAAAGTGGGGACGGCGGTACCCCAGCCGCGGCCACTCAGCTAACAGGGGTGAGAAGGGTCTAGCTGACTGCTGAGTGGCCGTGAAGTTCCTCTCCACACGCTGAGGGGGGGCGACGACTTTCCCACCCTGAGGGAACGACCCCCCGACTGGTCGGGGGAGGGACCCCTTTCAAACCTAGGGGCTCGGTGGCTGGCAGGCGAGCGCCAAGTGTCGCCCAACAGAGGGCGTGGCTGAGCGCCCCCGCCCGTGGGGGTCGAGGGCCTGGCAGAGCCCCGAGAGGAGACGCCGTTCGCAACCAGGCACAAAACTGCATGGCGATAGCCCTGGCAATGCGGACAGGGCCGCTAGTGCGGGCAGTCTCCCTGGAGGTGCCTTTCCAAGCACGAGTAGCACCAGCGGCGCTCCTTGGCGATAGTTCGCCTAGCCGGAACCGGCTTACCTAATAACTTCGGGCACGTCACCTGGTGATCGGATGCTCGACAATAGGAACAAGGGGGCGCCTACCTGGCCACTAGGCCACTGTAAGATGGTAAGGAGCGGCGCCCTCTCGCGGGAGCTCCGATCGGTCTTAGAGGTGTAGACGACGACTTGTCCGGCGGATTCCGCCTCTCACTGGGCACGGCTCGTAAGTCGTCAACGGTGCCCTCCGCGTTCTCAATCTAAACGGCACTGCTCCTCCAAGAACCGCAGCATATCACTGAAGGGCGGAATATAGGAGTCGCTGTCCCCGCCATGCTTCTCCTCAAAATGTATCCGAAGGTCGAGAGGCAGGCGGGACAGCACGATGTGGCGCAACAAGAAGGACCATGCATCAACCGGTAAATCCAGGCGCCTCAAAGCATTACAGGCTACCAAGACTGGATTCACGATGTCCCGGCGTAGTCTGGCCCGGTACCTAAGCAGTGGGAGGCTTAGAAGCTGCCTAACGTATTCGTCCGCAATTCGCTGAACGTTGGCGTATCTTCCGGCGAGGAGGTCCCGAGCAGTCTGTTAGACGTCGTCCAACAATCTCAAATGGCCGACGACGCCCAGGGCCTCCCCCTCCAATGAGGCTAGGAGGTACGCCATCTTCTGGCTTAGTGTCAAGTTCCTCCAGGCGTCCACTAGATTATCAAAAAGGCCTACAAAAGTCATCCAGTCGGAGAGGACCCAGGAGAACCTTGGCAGGTCCAGAGTTGAGAGTCGTCCCAACAGCTCCGGCTGAGTAGGCTGCTTCCGAGAGGACTCGGCCAGGCCACTCAACCGAGCTTCACGCGCTTCATCAGCACACTTGGCCCCCGCCTGGATCAAATCATCCGTGAGCGAAAAAAAATTCTCGTAGTCCGCGAAGCGGGAGTCTAGGACTCCCTGTTCCGCATCCGAGGCCAAAAGCTCTGTGCAAGCCTCCTCCACTACAGCCCTTCGGGCATCGACCTGCTTAAGCCGCTTCCCTAAACTATGGACTCGATCGGATCGCCCTATCAAAATATGAGCATTAGCGGCCCAGCGCAGCTCCGCCTGCAGACGAAGCGCCGGTAGCTTGTGCGATGGCATCTCTACTAAATACAAATTACTATCAAATTAAGTTCAATACAAATTGCACAAATACAAATTACTATTTATTAAATTAAATACAAAACACACTACAACAATGCATGAACCATGTTCCATGCAATGTTTAGGGCTCGATGAAATACTGGTACGAGAACTATACGAATAAAGTAGATGACAAGCTCTTCCTCTGGTGACAATACCCTCGGACCTTTTCAATCTTTATGTTAACAACTTGATGAAGGAGCTAAGATGTACCAAAATTAACTGCTACAATAATGGCACGTACCCTAGCTACGCGCAGGAAATGGTTCTTCTTAACTCCTCAATTAATGGCTTATAGCTTATATCCATTTGCAAAAATTGTGCTTGTTGGACATTGATTAAAATATAATGAACCTTACCGATTTTTTTAATAATTTTTCATTCAGATTTTTTTTAAATATCTTATGAAGACCCCATTTTAAATCTCAATTTTATGGGCCGATTTACCGCCTGTTCAGCAGAAAAGGGACTATCGAAAAATATATATGTATGGAGAAAATATAAAAGTTTACCATTGCTGCACTAGTACAGGCGCAGTAATATTGTGTGCTGTGTAGCGGTTAACAGCGGCGTTCGAAAATCCACTGCCCCATATTTAGAAGCTCCAAGACTTCATATCACTAACTTCGAAATTTGAACATGTGTTATTGTTAATAATTTAGTGCACTAGAACAAACTATTATTCAGACAAGGCTGTATGGTCTAATATCTTTACCTGCTTATATTGGCGAATCAAGGTAGCAATGTTGTCTTTGGTTCTAATCAAATCGAAAACCATAGATAAAATAAAGCATCACAAAAAAAAAACGAAAAAGTGCTTTTTGAGTGAATTAATTCTAAAGATAGGTAATTCTGGAAGTATTTATAATAAAAGATATCTTCAATTTATAAATAGCATTTAAGCGTTCTAGTGCTTCATATTCTTTAAGAATGGTGCGTTATTCTGTTAATATTATTGGACATTTTATTAGCGTCGAAAATGGCGGTAATATTAAGGTTATGTTTAATTTTTCAGTCGCATACTATCTTACTAGTCCAACCTGGTCCTAGACCGGAAACCAGGACATACTCAGATTATGAAAGCGTCAATGATTGTATGGAAGGAGTTTGTAAAATATACGAGGAGCATTTGAAGAGAAGAAACCCTAATACGCCGACAATCACTTACGACATTTCTCAGTTGTTTGATTTTGTTGACCAGGTAACTTTATTTAGTTAATAATTAACTAATATTTACAATATATTTATATTGTTATATATAATTTGTTAACCCGCTATATTCTTTTTTATCACTACAGTTGGCAGACTTAAGCTGTCTTGTATACCAGAAATCCACAAACACTTATGCACCATACAACAAGGATTGGATTAAAGAGAAAATATATGTTTTACTACGCCAAGCAGCTGGTCAGAGCGATTGAATTAGACCTTAGTTTTAAGGTTTTAAGAATTTCATAAAATATAATTGTTGCTTTATTATGGTGTGAACACCTTGGCTGAAAAGAAATGACGGATTTATGTCACCCCATTTAACAGGATTGATTAAACTTATCCTAAACCTATTACTGATTACATGATTAACACATATTCTTGTTTAAGTTTTTTTTTCTTTAATATTAAAAAAAGAACTGAACATTGTTGTAGCATCTGATACACCTTATGATCTGGAAAACTGGGACTGATCTGTTTAAGTATTAAATGAATAAATAAGACAGATAAGTATTTGTTAACACTATAACCAATGTTTGTCTCTTGCATAAAAATTAAAGATTAAAATTAAATACAACATTACAATCATTTTTTTTTAAATTACAAGGCTCAGTATCAGTCCCCTTATTTTTTATGATGAAAGGAATTTCTTCTCATAAAATGGATTTATATTTACATTATAAATGCAAACATGAAAAAAATATAGATATTCTAGAAATCGATTTCTTGGGAATCGACATATTAGCATACAGTTTGAATCTATTTAAAAAATCGATCTTTTTCGGAAAGAATCAACATCCCTACTGACAATAATAATAAAAAATAGCGTCAGTTTCATGGTATGAATTGACATAAATATTGCAAAAATATTTTTGATTTTCAATATTTTTTTCTCAAAAAGTATGTGTTTCTGCATATTGAAACTTTGTGTGTATGCTTATAAAAATGTAATCTTTCTGTAAAAATACGTATCAACACCAATGTTGACGGACGTCAATGGAAAGTCGTACCAATTACAATACTAATTCTTACCTATAATGTTTAGTTTTGCTAGTTTTAAAACAAAATCACTGTCATTCCTTAAACGGTCCTCTTACTTATACTGTAAATTCAGCACTTCACATCATTGGGGATTAAAAAAGTTATAAACTGCTTTCTTAATCAGGTGCTACTACTTTTTCATTTTTAATCATTTTGCATTCACTGAAAAAATGTAAACAAAATTTAATTCCTTAGCAAGCAAATGCCAAGTGCTAAACCATAGTTTTTACAGAATATCTAATATATCAAAAGTGACATACCAAGTGTATTTAATTATTAAAGAAAACTATATCTTTGTCTATTTTATCGAATCCTAAATCACCATTTATTCAAGTTTTGCATATGATTTGGAGAGCTAGAAAATTGCAAGTGCTTTAGACTACATTAATCTGTTGAGTACTATATTAAAATATTAATAAATACAACTTAAATTTCTTTTATCAATTTATGTTGGGGAAGCTATCAGCTTGGCAAATTGTTGTTTGTATTTTAAATCTTCCCATTTGCTAAAATGCAACAATAAATAATAAAATAAATTTCTGTGAGTAGCAACTCACAGAAATTTATTTGAGACCTTATTTTGTAAACTTCAGAGCATATTGTTGGTCCATATTGAGGTGAGGCATAACACATGCTCTGTAAGATTTTGTGTGTTGTATTTTATTGCAGCTACCAAAACTAGTAAGGAAATTTCAAGTAAAGAAAAGAAGTTGTATGCCTTATTTTATAAAAATGTGATTTCACGTAATTACCATAAAAGATTTCATCTTTGTTTAGTTGTTATAAATTTAATAGCAAGTAATTCTAGCAATAAAGATACATTAGTAGGGAATACTAAATACTTTTGAATATTTTTTTTTAATATGCTAGTAACACTGTAAGAGATATTATATAGTACCTTGGCACTTTTTAAATCATATAATAGTCAAGTAGCTATAATTTTCGCGACAAAATTAAAGCGTGAATTAACTCTTTTTAAGTGTATCTAGAAATAGCATAAGTTCAAATATAACATTATATTTTTCTAAGTTTTTCATGTTCTGAAACAAAATAATAAATTTTTGTAAAAGTGTTCAAACAAAGTTCAAAAATACCTTTTTGGTAAAAGTTCATCTATATTGCAATTACGAAATTGCATCTATAAAGCAATAAAAATTTTAAGTAAATTTTTACTTTAAATTTTTTTTGTTTTACTACGTCATGTTTGTCTTTGATTATTGATAGCACAGATTAATGTGTGATAATTTTGTTACTACATTTTGTTACTTTTAATATTATCATAAGTATAATTAATATAAGACATTTTGTGACAATCGATTTTTTCTTTTATTTTCGCTCGATGGAAAAATAAGCTGATCTGCGACAAAAACTAACTGATTGGTGATTACCTATGGGTGCATCGGACATAGCTAGGCTTAGTCCTTAATACGACACTTGGGGAGGCTCCTCCCATCATCATCATTCATCATCATCATCATTCATCATTACAGCCCTTCACAAGTCCACTGCTGAACATAGGCCTCCCCCAAAGAATGCCACAAAGCACGGTCCTGAGCCACCTGCATCCATCGACTTCGTGCATGTCTTACCAGGTCGTCACTCCATCTCGTGGGGGGACGCCCTACACTTCGCCTACCGGTACGAGGCTGCCACTCGAGAACCTTTCTTCCCCATCGATTGTCGGTTCTTCGAGCTATATGGCCGGCCCACTGCCACTTCAGCTTACTAATCCGTTGGGCTATGTCGGTTACTCTGGTTCTACTGCGGATATCCTCATTCCTAAGTTTATCACGCAGAGAAACTCCGAGCATAGCCCTCTCCATAGCTCGCTGAGCGACCTTGAGCTTCCTCATACGGCCAGCAGTGAAGGACCACGTCTCAGTTCCATAAGTCATCACTGGCAACACGCACTGGTTGTACAATTTCGTTTTCAGGTTTTGAGGTATGTCTGACGAGAAGATGTGTCGTAGCTTCCCGAACGCTGCCCAGCCGAGTTGAATCCGTCGATTGACCTCTCGGTCGAAGTTGGACTTACCTAGTCGGACTATTTGTCCCAGGTAAACATACTCGTCAGCAACTTCGAGCTTAGTGCTCCCAACAACTACCGGCATAGGTGTGACATGGACATTGAACATGATCTTTGTTTTGTCCATGTTCATCTTAAGACCTATCCGTTGGGAAACACTATCGAGGTCAGTGAGCATAGTGCTTAGGTCCTCCAGCGATTCTGCCATAAGGACTATCGTCGGCAAATCGAAGGTGAGTGATGTACTCGCCATTGATGTTGATACCGTATCCTTTCCAGTCCAGAAGCTTGAAAACGTCTTCCAATGCAGCGGTGAAGAGTTTCGGGGATATGACGTCACCCTGTCTTACACCTCTCTGCAATTGGATAGGTTTCGTACTCTGGTTCTGTACTCGGATAGCCATCGTAGCCCTACTGTACAAGCACTTCAACACTTCGATATACCGACAGTCAACTTGGCACCGCTGAAGGGACTGCAGCACCGCCCAAATTTCGACGGAATCAAAGGCTTTCTCATAGTCCACATACGCCAGACATAGTGGCAAATTGTACTCTTCGGACTTCTGTACAATTTGCCGAAGGGTATGTATGTGGTCTATGGTGCTAAAGCCTTTTCGGAAACCGGCTTGTTCGGGAGGCTGGAAGTCGTCAAGTCTGCGCGCGAGACGATTCGTAATGACTCTCGAAAACAGCACGTAGACGCGGCTCAGAAGGGACATCGGTCTGTAGTTCTTCAAGAGAGCGTTGTCACCTTTCTTGAAGAACAAGACCACCGCACTTCTGCTCCACGCCTCCGGTGTAATGCCACCATGGAGGACGGAATTAAAGAGCTTCTGAAGGACTTCAAGTACCGGTCTTCCACCCGCTTTCAGAAGCTCCGCTGTAATTCCATCCTCGCCTGGGGCCTTACCGTTTTTAAGGTGCTGGAGAGCCATTCTAATCTCGCTCAGACTGACGTCCGGGATATCTTCGGAATAGTGTCGGATGAGACTCGCTCTTGGATCGTTACTCACACTTGCGTGTGGCTCCAACGATGACGTGTACAGCTGCCCATAGAACCTCTCAATCTCACTCAAAATCTCAGGTGTCCCGGAAACGATGCTGCCACATCCTGTCTTCAGCTTTGACAGGTGGCTCTTTCTGGCAGACAGATCTCTGGCAAAGACTTTGGAGCCTTGGTTCCGCTCGATGGCTTCTTCAATACGAGCTGTATTGAAGTTGCGTAAGTCCCGCCGCATGCATTTGGAGATCTGTCTGTTCAGATGCCTGTATGCTGTCAAGTCTGTTGAAGAATGTAGCTTCATCTCCCGTCTAACAGCCATGAGATTAAGAGTGTGATCGGAGAGTTTTTGTGTTCTTCTGCGGCGGGTCTTGCAGAACTTAGCTCCGACCGCATGGACAGTTTCCACGAGCTTGTCATTCATATCGTCCACTTCATTGCAGTCTTCTAGGCACTGAAAACGGTTTTGTAACTCGAGCTGAAAGGTTTCGGGACTTTGGAACAGAGCACGAGGGGGACGGAGCGTTGACTTCATTAGACGAGACCTCTCCAACTTAACGTTTAGGTTCAGTGTGCCTCTAACCATTCGGTGATCGCTACCAGTTTTCACCCTCGCGATCACGGAGACATCACTGAACAGTTGTCGTCTGGTCGTCATAATGAAGTCAATCTCATTTTTTGTCGAACCGTCGGGGCTCGACCAGGTCCACTTCCTGTGGGGCCGCTTCTGGAAGAAAGAGTTCATCATAAAGAGTCCCTCTTTCTCCATGAAGTCGGCCAGCTGCTGGCCCCTTGGGTTCCGTTGCCCTATTCCAAATTTCCCTACTTTCAGCTCACCGTTCTCTCTTGTGCCTAGTTTTGCATTGAAGTCTCCCATTAACACCGTATATTGGGTTTTGGAGGAATGCATGGCTCTAGAGATATCCTCATACATTTCCTCCACCTCCCCATCGGGGTGTGCCGAGGTTGGTGCGTAAACCTGTATGACCTTCAGCGAATACCGTTTGGTGATTCTGAGTATAAGGTACGCAACCCTCGTCGACACACTCCCGATTTTTACAACGTTGTTAACGAGAGACTTGTGGACGATAAATCCGACACCTCCTTGGGACAGATGGTCGCCCTCCCGGTGATAGAGCAAGTTGCCGGATTCGAGGATTACCGTGTCCTCCCCCTCTCTTCGGACTTCGGATAATCCTATAATATGCCAGCGCAACTTGTCTATCTCTTCTTCCAGCTCCACGATCTTCTCGTCAGTCCTCAGGGTGCGTGCGTTGTACGTTGCCAGGTCGAGTCGTCTAAGGTGGCAACCGAACCTCCACCGGAGATTCTTAGCACCTCCTGCCCCGCCGTTACCATGGTCGCCACCGTAGCCAGGAATAGCGGGGCCGCCGGGGACTGGGGGCCGTCTCTTTGTTACATTCATAGGGGGGTATTTGCCATAGTTGCCACGCTTGGCGAGCGGGTTGGCAACCGCAGTTTTTTTATTGTAATTTTGGCTATTATCAGGAAGATGCTGCTGCCCATCTCCTGCCTGTTTCCCTTTGTCGCCTTTTACGACACCCACGGGAGGATATGGGGTAGTGGTATTCTTGACCGCCACTACACGGCTCCTCCCATTTGTCTCAAATTATTTTTTTAGTCTATATAATTTGACCAGGAAATGTGGCCCGCGATGTAGATTTTTACAGGGACCCATATTAGGAGCCTGTAGCCCATTGAACACATTTTTAGTTTTAGCAGCAATCTTTTCTTTAATTTTTCAGTGATAATTATATAATCGGAGGCAGTACCACAAGCTAATTAGCAATATTGGGCGTTCTGACTAAGGCATAATCAGCCGGTCGATTCAAATTGGTTACTGAGTACCTCAAGACATAAAAATATTTAAATCACTGAGAGAATCTACCTAACCTTAAAGTTTTTAAAGCTTCAAGTAAACTTCTACTCTGTTTCGATGTTCTAGAATTTATAAAGGCAATCGAGCGCCATCACTACCTACTTAGCTCTTATAGTTCTTTACGGTCAGCAAAGATGAAGTAACGCCGAAGAGCAGTTACCAGTTCAACTCACAAAATTGACCGATGCGGCTAAAGGCTAAATACACCTTTTGAGTATAAACGCCGACAGTCGGCGTTTGTACTCTGTGGTCATTATTACTTTCCTTGCTGAAGAAGAAGCAGTTATAATATATTCTGAAGCACGCTTCAGGGTACCTATTATCGGTAGGGTATTAAGGTCGGCTCGAACAGGGAAAGCCCCTAAAGTTGCTGTTTTTTAGTGCTCTTTCACGTAGAAAACGCGGGCGGGGCGGCAGCAAACGGTGCGGAGGTTTGTGCTCCTTTAGGGCTATACACGTTCTGTGGGTTTGGGCGAGCTTGTTTGTGTTCGGAGTGTTCACGTTGGCCGCTAGGTGTATGTGCGAGTGTAACGTGTTGTCAGAGGTTGTGAACATGGACGACGAACTTTTATTTTTAATCGATAATTCTTATCTAAAGTGGGAATAAGCAGAATTGGTGTGCACGAAATTGATAAAGAAAGAGAACTGTCCGAGGGAAATAATCATGTGAGGCGAGTCCATTGGTTTGAATGGGCGATCGTTTGTAGCGACAAGTTCAAAATTGTTAATCTTCGTTATCTGTTGTCGCGACTCAATCGCGCGCTCCGCCGCTAGTTCGACGTGACCACACACAAACAACTTCATACGTTTGATATCATGCCGCCTCCACACGCTTGGTGTTTGCCACATACACCATACACGAACAAACACCGCCGACATTCACCCAACACAAACACGGCATCCACACGCTCGGCGAACGTGCTAGTATATTCCGGATAGGCAAACATGACGGACTACGGGCTTGTGGCAGTGATTACTTTCGGGTTGACCTATTTTTATTTAAAAATAAGGCAATATAAATTGCTCTCAAGGTTGTTGTATTGAAGATTTTACACACCATAGAATCTCAAATGAATTCTCAATTATTACTGCTATAAATTGTCTTCAGGTTCAAATAAGTTTGGTTTGAACGCTTTTATTCGTATTGCATAACTGATTATTATGTAACACGTGACTCTAAATTAATCTAAAAACAAACTTTTATGAAATTAATGCTTGACTGGGGAATCGAACCCCGAATTTTCGTTACTCATTATATTGAATCTATTTACTTTTAACATAGATTATCTCTTTATTCGAAGCGCCTTATAAAATAGTCGTAGGTGTTTTCTATGAAAATGTAACGAAATTTTTACTAATCCAAGTGTATTTTATAAGTTGGTCAACTATT